ACTAAATCAGGGCAGGGTGGGGGGGGGGGTTAGAACCGAGAGCCACATTCCAGAACAATCCAGAAGGCAAAGCACTGGGCTGAGCTAGGGGGAGAGGGGGAAGGAGAGGCAGCAGCTTGCAGGGCTCCAAGACCCGGTGTGAGACGGTGCCAGGGACCTGGGGGGCTGTTGTAGATAGAGCGACACAGACAGAGACAGAGAGTGACAGAGATAGAGATAGAGACAGAGAGAGACAGAGACAGACAGAGAGACAGAGACAGAGATGGAGAGACAGACAGAGACAAAGCAGGAGAGACAGAGCTGGAGAGACAGAGACAGAGAGAGACAGAGGCGGAGAGGCAGAGACAGAGGTGGAGAGACAGAGGCGGAGAGACAGAGGCGGAGAGGCAGAGACAGAGCTGGAGAGACAGAGGCGGAGAGACAGAGGCAGAGAGGCAGAGACAGATAGAGAGACAGAGACAGAGCTGGAGAGACAGACAGAGACAGAGCTGGAGAGACAGAGGCAGAGAGGCAGAGACAGAGGCGGAGAGAGAGCTGGGAAGGCAGGTGAGCGGGCATGGCCCGGGGCAGGGGGGGGAGGGGGGGCACGTCCTGCACAAGGGCTTCAGCGGGCCACCTCCTCCCAGAGCCTCTCTGTGCAAGCTCCTCTCCACCAACATCCGTCCTTTTGCGTCCCTCGGGACCTCTCTGGTTTCCAGTGACAAAACGCAGCCTGCAGGAGGTTGAGGAACAGGCATCTGCTCTGAACCGCTTGCTGTGCGGGCCGCTCCCAGGGCAGGCGGCTTAGAGGGCCAGGCCCTGGAAGACCGGTCTGCTGGGACCCAGGACTGGCCACCGCCAGAGGTCAGTGTCCAGCCCAGGCCTGAGCCTCCAGGCTGAGTCTGTCCTCACCTGAGAGGGGCGGTTCTGTCCCCAGGGCCAGTTTGCAAGCTCCCCGGGAGACCTTTGGATCAGCACCGTCAGGCAGTAGGCAGGGTGCATGAACTCTTTGCTCGCAGTCAAGTGCCTGGGGGGTGGGGAAGGTCAGTGCCCTGAAGGACGTGCTAGGCTCCAGGCACAAGGAAGGCAGTGGATGGGCCCCAGGGCCTGCTGGGCTCCTACAGAAGCCCCTCCCACGCTGATATTTCCCGCCCTCTCCCCCTCTCTCTGTCTCTCTCTATCTCCCCCTCCAGGTCTCCCTCTCTTTCTCTCCCTCTCAACCCCCCTCCCTCCCCCATCTCTGCTTCCCTCTCTTCTCCCCTCACCCCAATCCGCATGTGTCAGCTCCTTGTCCCCCACACCCCAAGGGGGGCTCTTCTGCTTCTCCCGGACTGCTGTCCCTCCCTCCCTGCTTCTGCAGCCGTGTTTGCCTCTAGATGGTGGGGCCTTCACACACTCGCCACATTTTTGTTCCTCCGTGACATTTAATGTCCCCATGGTTACCTATGCCCAGAGCTAAACAAGACGCTGATCTGGGCAGGGTCTGGCCGGTGCGGACACTGCAGGCCGCCCCTCCCATCCTGGGCACTCTCCCCCTGGGGCAGCCAAAGATGGCACTGGCTTTCCTGGCAGCCTGGTCATAGCTGGGTCACACTGAGTGTTTTGTTTCCATAAAACACGCCCTAAAGATTATGAAAGTCATTCTGTGCTCATTCGAGAAAAATTTGAAAACAGAAAAAATGTAAAGATCATTTCAAATCACCTGCAATCCCTCGTTGCAATATATTTCTCTTTCGTCCTTTATTTATACAGATCTCAAGACATTTTATTTTATTTTATTTTATTTTATTTTATTTTTTTATTGATTTTTAGAGAGAGAGGAAGGGAGAAGGAGATAGAAATATTGATGAGAGAGAACATCGACTGGCCACCTCCTGCATGCCCCCCACTGGGGATCGGGTCCACAACTTGGGCATGTGCCCTGACCGGGCATTGAACCGGAGACCTCTTGGTGCATGGGGTCTATTGATGCTCAACCACTGAGCCACACCAGCCAGACTCAAGACGTTTCCCAACAAATGTTGACTTAGCCTGTTTATAGTTTTCACTTAACATTGTATCAGAAGCATTTTGTATGTCATTAAAAATTCTGTGAACCTTTTCGTGTGTCTATAGGTGATACTCCTCATGTGGGTTACGAATACAGTCACTGACAGTTACTAGTCTCTGCTAAATGTTTTTCTGGATTTTTTCATGACAACCTACCATGTGGCTTCCCCGGGAAGTAGGGATGGTTATTTTCCCAATTTTGCAAATGTGGAAACTCAGACTTAGAGAGGTTAAATGACTTGTCATCACCACACAGCTAGTAAGTGGCAGGTCCCAGTTTTGAACCCAGACAGCCTGATTCAAGGTCAGTGTTTTCTCCAAGCCCACAGGGGTGTGCCCAGACAATGTCTGTGTGTAACAGGAAGCTGTCACCACCCTCCACCTGGGCTGAGCAACGTCCCTCCAGGGTCATGAGAGAGGATGCTTCTCATGAGTAGGGGCATCCTATATGTAAAACACCATTTTACTTTAAAAACTCTTAAGTCATGAAGTTGCAGTATGGAGCCAATGGCTGACGTGAGGCCACGCTGTGTAGGTTGGGGGCATGGGGACAGACAGTCCATGGCATGAAGTCACTGAGTAACTCCAAAGACTAGAATTTGAATGTAACCATCTCAGCTTTTAAATGCTGTATATCAAAACCCACAGCAAATGTCATACCTAATGGAGAAACTTGAGAAACATTTGATTAGGATTGGCAACAAGATTAAAATGCCTATTAGCACTGTGATTATGTAACAAAGAACTAGAGGTCCTGGCCAATGTTATAAAACAAGACAAAGAAATAAGAGGTATAGGAATTGAGAAGAAAGATATAAAAATGTCATTATTTGTAAACAATATGATGATCTACACAGAAATTTGAGCAGACAAATTATTAAAATAAAAGGGTTATTGGATAAATATAAGACCAACTTACAAAAATCAATAGCACTTTCTCTAGACCACAATAACCACCTACAATACATAACAGAAAATAGGATACCATTCATAATAGCAACAAAACCTTAAAAATATAACAAAAAATACATCATCTTCAATGAAGGAAATGTTCACCTTCTATTATACGAGATAAAAGAAGATCTGAGTAAATGGAATAATCTGTGTTGTTAGATGGGACAACTTAATATAAAAATGTCACTTCCACCCAAGCATTATCATAATTATAATCCTAATCAATTCCAACTGTACTTTTTTAGGAATTTAAACCTATTCTAAAATTTATAAGGAAGAACAAAAGTTCCCAAATTACTAAGATAATTTTAGAACAGAAGAGCAAAAGAAATTGATCTTATCAGATATAAAGACATACTCCAAGGCCATAGTAATAAAACAGTAAAGTTCTTGCACCATAAACCAAAATAGGGAAGTCATATATAGACCCTTGTACATACAAGAGTTTGGTTCATCAGAGATAAGTTACCACAAGTCAGTGTAGAAAGAACATGTTTAGTGAATAATTGTTGGGGAAGCAGTTCTTTATATTGTGGGAGCTGGAGTCCTGCCATACACCATAGCCAAAGGTGGGTTCCAGGTGAATTAAAAATCTAAATGGGCCCTGGCCGGTTTGGCTCAGCGGTTAGAGCGTCGGCCTGCGGTCCGGAGAGACCCGGGTTCGGTTCCCGTTAAGGGCACGTACCTCGGTTGCAGTTTGTCCCCAGCCCTGGTTGGGTCGTGCGGGTGGCAACCACTCGATGTGTCGCTTTCACGTCGATGTTTCTCTCTCTCTCTCCCCCTCTCATTCTATCTGAACAAAATATCGAAAAATGTCCTCGGGTGAGGATAAAAAAAAAAAAATCTAAATGGGAAAGATATAACTGTAAACAAAGAGGAAAAAACATACATCAATATGTTTGATACCTGAAATTGAATTCAGGAAAGACTTCATAAATAAGACTTTTCCCCCTTCAGGAGCCCATCATAAAAGATGATAACAGCCCTGGACAGTTTTGCTCAGTGGTTAGAGCATCGGCCTGTGGACCAGAGAGACCCGGGTTCGGTTCCCGCTAAGGGCACATACCTCGGTTGCAGTTTGTCCCTGGTCCTGGTTGGGGTCATGTGGGTGGCAACCAGTCAATGTGTCATTTCACATTGATGTTTCTCTCTCTCTAGTCCTCCCTCTCTCCCTCCCACTCCCTCCAGCTCTATCTGAAGATAAATGCAAAAAAAAAAAAAAAAAAATGTTCTCAGGTGAGAATAAATAAATAAAAAATAAATTTGAAAAGATGAGGACATTAAACAGCAACTGCATTCCTAGAACTATACCCTAAGAAGCCTGAAACACCAATCAGAAAGAATATATGTACCCCTATGTTCATAGTAGCACTATTTACAATTGCTAAGATCTAGAAACAGCCTAAGTGTCCATCAGTAGATGAGTGGATAAAAAAAGCTGTGGTACATTTACACAATGGAGTACTATGCAGCTGTAAGAAAGAAAGATCTTTTATACTTTGAGACAACATGGAGGGGCCTGGAGAGTATTATGCTGAATGAAATAAGTCAGTCAGAGAAAGACAAACACCACATGATCTCACTTATTTGTAGAATATAATGAACAAAAAAAGCTGATGAACAAAACAGACCCAGAGACATAGAAAGAAAATTGGGAAAATAACCATCCCTACTTCCCGGGGAAGCCACATGGTAGGTTGTCATGAAAAAATCCAGAAAAACATTTAGCAGAGACTAGTAACTGTCAGTGACTGTATTCGTAACCCACATGAGGAGTATCACCTATAGACACACGAAAAGGTTACAAAATTCAGACTGACAAACCTCAGAAGCGGGGGGGCGAGGGGGGGAGGAGATAAACCAAAGAACTCATATGCCTATATGCATAACCAATGGACATAGACAACAATGCTGGGGGGTGGGGGGGTGGGATAAGGAGGAGGATGTCTGCGGGGAGAGGGGGAAACATCTGTAACAAAAATAAATTAATAATTTTTTTTTTTTTTTTTTAGTTTTCTTAGGCGAGAGCACGAACGCAGTCCCCCGCTACCACAAATGATGCAGTTGAGTTTCCCACATTTGGGGAGATCGCAGGATCAGCACATCCGGAGTGCAATGGATAAGCCTCACCCTGGGAAAACCACCTTGGTGATCATGGTATCTCCCCTGCTGGTAAGTATGATAATAATAATAATAATTTTTAAAAGAATCCATTGTAAAAACTCACATTTAGACACTTTGGTACAAAATCTTATAAGTGAATTATAAATTGATATGACTTATAAAAGAAAGACACTTAACATTTTAAAATATTAAAACTTTTAACTGAAAAAAAGCAACTGCAAATACAGGGAATTAGAAAGTGACCGCACATGCCCAGGGAAAGGCTCGGAAAAGACCCGAGAGGACATTCAGTTTGCTCCTCAGGCTGATCCTGGACACACAGACCGCCTACAACAATGAAAATAATAATGCAGATAATGAAAGACAGCCAACTCTAGGGAAGGAGGAAATGGCCAAAGTTATATTATTAGAGTCAAATGTCCATCGTTCAACAATAAAATCATAAGGCATACAAAGAAACAGGAAAGTATGGTCCATTCAACGGGAATAAAAATAATTCAACTCAAACTGTCCCTGTAAAAGACCTAATGGCAAACATACTAGGCAAAGTCTTTAAAACAACTGTCTTGAAGGTGCTTGAGGGACTAAAGGAGGATGTGGAGAAAGTCAAGAAAATGTGTGAACAAAATGGAAACGTTTCACACATGGACTCTGGCAGTGATTTCTTGGATATAATGCCAAAGGTGCAGATAACAAAAGAAAACAACAAAAAATAGACAAATGGGACTTTAGGGAAAAAAATTATTTAATTTGGGGGCATCAAAAGACACCATCAACAGAGTAAAAATAATGGGAAAAAATAACTGCAAATCATATATCTGATAAGGAATCAATATCCAGAACATATAGAGAACTCCCAAAACTCAACAACTAAAAAATAAATACCCCAATTAAAAAATGGGTAAAGACCCTGGCCGGTTTGGCTCAGCGGTTGGAGCGTCAGCCTGCGGTATAGAGAGACCCGGGTTCGGTTCCAGCTAAGGGCATGTACCTCAGTTGCAGTTTGTCCCCGGCCCTGGTTGGGTCGTGCGGGTGGCAGCCACTCGATGTGTCCCTTTCACGTCGATGTTTCTCTCTCCCTCCCACTCTATCTGAACAAAATATGAAAAAATGTCCTCAGGTGAGGATTAAAAAAATAATAAAATAAAGATTGTTAGGTAAAAAAGAAGAAGATATACAAATGGCCAATAAGTACGTGAAAAGATGTTCAATCAACATCAGTAATCATTAGGGAAATGCAAATCAAAACTACAATGAGATACCACAACATACCCACTTAAAAAAAAAACAAAAAAAAAAAAACAGAAAACGAGTGTTGGCAAGGATGTGGAGAAACTGAAGTCTGTGCAGTTTGGGTAGAAATGTAAAATAGTAGAGCTGCTATGAAAAATAGTATAGTGTTTCCTAAAACAGTTTAAAATGGAATTGCCACGAGGTAGAGCAATTTCACTTCCGGGTATATACCCAAAAGAACTGAAAGCAAAGTCGCGAAGAGACGCTCGCACACCCGAGTTTGTAGCAACATTATTCACAAAGCTAAAACACGGAAGCAACCCAAGTGTCCTTTAACAGATAACTAGATAATTAAAGTGTGGTAAACAGATAAAATGGAATATTATTCAGCCTTAAAAAGAAAGGAAATTCTGACAACTGCTACAGCATGGATGAACCTTGAGGATATTACGCTAAGCGAAATAAGTCAGATACAAAAAGACACATACTGTATGATTCCATTCACATGCGGTACTACAGTAGTCAAAATCCTAAACGCGGAAAGTAGAACAGTGGTTGCCAGGGGAGGGGGAAACAGGGATTTATTATTTAATGGGATAGAGTTTCCATTTTACCAAATGGGAAGAGTTATAAGAATGGATGGTGGGGATGGCTGCACAACAATGTGAATGTATTTAATACTGTTAAATTGTACACTCAAACTGTTACAATGATACATTTTATGTTCTGTGCATTTTACTACAATTTTTTAAAAGAAAAAAATGCAAATACCTCCCTTTCCTCTTATCCAGGAGGGAATAAAAGAGTTGATGTGCCAGGGACAGTAGGGTGATCCTTTGCAAGTGGCAGGTAGGGAGGTAGCCCTTGGCCATTTGTCAGTGTTACCTTCACCTGTGAATGTTCGGGTTTTGAAAACTGTCACTAAGAGAGATTGATACTCCAGGGCCTAGGATGTCCTGGCCCCACAAGATACTTAATGTAGGTGATAACAAGGGAATAAATAGGAGGACCTGCATGTTCCTTAGTCTTCATGTCTTACATTGTTTCATCAGAAAACTTTGCGTGCTGGGTACTTTACAATGTGAGAGAACAGAGGAGGCCTTCTTCCCAAGTCCTCCAGTGAGGACAAGGACACTGAAGTCTGTTTTCTCACTGTCCATGAACTTGGGCAGGAAGAAGTGAGCTTCACTGGAGAAAAGCACTGGTGTGGACACAGCCCCAGGCGGCCTGCAGACAACGTCTTTTGTCCACCTTCTGTTGGAGTACAGAACTATACAGAGAGAACGTCTTCAAGAGAGAAGCTGAACACCAATGAGGGGGCATCTGATTACTAGTCAACGTATTCTTTATTGGAAAATAAAAGGGTTTTGTTAAGAACATCTATCCTGCCCTGGCCGGTTTGGCTCAGCGGTTGGAGCGTCGGCCTGCGGTCCGGAGAGACCCGGGTTCGGTTCCCACTAAGGGCATGTACCTCGGTTGCAGTTTGTCCCCGGCCCTGGTTGGTCGTGCAGGTGGCAGCCACTCAATGTGTCCCTTCACATGGATGTTTCTCTCTCTCTCTCTCTCTCTTCCTCTCTCTCCCTCCCGCTCTATCTGAACAAAAAATGGAAAAATGTCCTCGGGTAAGGATAAAAAAAAAAAAAAAAAAATCTATCCTATTGTTTCCCTTAGAAAGCTGAACCTTTTTGACTACCTTATAAAGACAGCCCAAATTGAGCCTAATTTGGAACTTCAAAGAAGAAACCCTCCCCGCAGTGTGGTTCCAGAAAGGTGGATGGGGGTCTCTGTTCATTTCCTAGCGCCGCCGCGACAAAGTCCCACACACTGGGTGCTTACATTTTATTTGCTTCCATTCCGGAGGCTAGAAGAAGAGCTCGAGGTGTCAGCAGGGTTGATTTCTTCTGAGGCTTCTCTCCTTGGCTTGTGGACAGCCAGCTGCTCCCTGTGTCCCCACATGGTCTTCCCTCTGCGCGTGTCTGTGTCCTCACCTCCTCTTCTCATAAGGACACCAGTCCTATTGGATCAGGGCCCACCCATATGACCTCATTTTATCTTAATTACCTCTTTAGAGGTCTTTTCTCCAAATACAGTCGCATTCCAAGGCATTGGGGGGTTTGGACTTCAACACATGGATTTGAGGAGGGGACAGAATTCAGCCCATACTAGGAGTTTAAGAAATGTGGAAACTAGAACAGCTGTTGTGGGCATGTGTCAGAGGAAAGGCAGTGGTTAAACCCCCGCTGAGCTATCTCAGGGTCTACGGAGACTAGACAGCTTACACATGGGGAAGGGCAAAGCAGCACAGACCTGGGACGTCTCCAGAATGACCTTGCAATGCAGGGGTCACACAGTGGGCAGCAGTGGGGCCTGGAGGGCCCGTGGGAGACACAGAAAAAGGTGCATAACCCTCAGAGCCAATGAGCCCACCTCTAGGGAATTCACTTTAGGAAATCATCAGAAAAGCTCTCGAAGATGTTTACCCAAGACCTTTCACTGCAACCCTGTACGTAATTTCAAAAGTCAGATGACAATTGACTGGCTAAATTATAAGTTCCCTAATTAAATAATAGTATTTGAATATTAAAATAGCTAAAATTAAACATGTAGATCCATATTTAATCAGACAGCAGTCAGAGTAGATTTTCTTCACAAAAAACACTGCCAAGAGGTCCACATTTGTTGAGTGACTAGCAAGTTACAAAATCAATCCCGTTTATGTAAAAAATGTATTACTTAAATAGACCCATGGATGTCTGTGAAGACATTTACTACTGTGTAAGCAATTGTTATCTCTGGATGGTGGGCTTTAGAGAAATTTTTTTTCTTTATTCTTCCTATTTTACTATTTCATCTGAATTTTCACAAAATGTGTGTTATATTTGTGATCAGAAAAAACTGAGAGGGATCTCCACAGATGACCTCCCAAGAGCATCATAAATGCATCCCTGTGTCTATTAGCCACATTCTAGAGTCTTGTTCTCCGTGTTGCTAACTCAGAAAATCCACCTAGAACCTGTGTCCCTGAAGAATAGGTTCTGCTATACATAGTAGAAAGCCCTGCCTACTTTGGCTTAAACAGATAGAGGCTCGTTTTTCTAACAATGACCAGAAGGAAGCAATTCAGGGCTGGTACAGCTACTCATGGATGTCATCAAGGAGCGAGATCCCCTCCATCTCATTTCTCTGACATCCCTGGGTATGTCTTTTGTCTTTACTGACAAAACGGCTGCTGTATTTCCAGCTCTCACATCCATGTTCTAGGTAAAGAGAAGAAAAAAAGGGCACCCTGGCCGGTTTGGCTCAGTGGTGGGAGCATTGGCCTGCGGACCAGAGAGTCCCGGGTTCAGTTCCCGCTAGGGGCACATACCAATAAAGAAGAAAAAAAGAAAGAAAAAAGGCAAGAACACTTTCTTCCAGTAAGGCTTTACTTTTGTTATCTGGAAAAGAAACACACTTCCCAGGGACACCCATTTACATTGTATTGGTCAGAACTGTGGTGCATGGCTTCCTTTAGCTGCAAGGGAATCGAGTATTTTTACCTGGACACACAAGACTCAATTAATAAGAAAGAATGGAAAATAGTTGGATAGCAGTGTCAGTGATGCACAATATCCATGGGTAATCATTCTAGCAGGGAACAGTTGATATTTCCCAATTTACAATGAACTGAGATATTAACCAGACACCAATGTATTCATTGTCAGTGCACAGGAACCCATTTCAGTGACCAGAATTCTCATGTTTCCCACCAGAACATTCTTCTCCCCAGTATCAGGGAACCGGAAGTGAAAGTATGGAAAATAATCTAAACATTGCTTAGTGA